ACCGGCCAACCAGCATTTGAAAATGCATAAAGATCAAGACTACATTGACAAAGAAGACGAAGGCCATAATGAAGAGTCCCTTTGACAAAACGTAAAATACGCTTCACCATTTGAAAATGAAAAATAGTAGGGGAATGCATATACTGACATACTGTATTAACTGCAAATGAAAGATCTGGGCAAGTAAGCGTGAGAAGTTGTAGAGTTCCCACGACCCTTCTATAGGTGGTGACATCTGAAAAAGGGGTCTCTCTTGGTTGAGGTTTTAGTTGCCATAGGTGTTGAACATGGTTTGCAAGCCGCCATATTGGTGCTCTCCAATAGATCCAAAACATACTTGGATTTGTGACAGAAAAATACCTTTTGGAGTATGTTGAACTTGAATTCCTAGAAAGTAATGAAGTTGTTCCATGTTTTTCATAGAGAATGTCTCACCAAGATTGAAGATGAGCTCATTGATAAATTTAACAGAATCACTTATCACAATAATATCGTCAACTTATAAAAGAAGAATAGTATGTGTACCGTCCTTGTAGACAAAGAGGGAAGTGTCAGCACGAATGCAAGAGAACCCATACTAAAGTAAAAATGTGCTAAATCGATCCCATGTATGATTAGCAGCTAATGCATCTAGTTCTTCTTGCATACCTGCCCTCCATCCTGGATAGAGAAGTGCACTATGAAATTAATGTATTTAATTAGGATTTGGTTTATGAACACCCACTTGACTCCTTGTTACCATGTGATGAGGAAGATAACTCCGATTTATATTCATGCTGTTGGGAAATGTGTAATTTAAATATATAAGTCCTTCAACACAGTGTAACACATATTTTTTTAATTAGGGTGACGATGAGATTTGAACTCGAGACCTTTGACTCTGATATTATGTTAATAACCATCTACTCAAAAAAAATTAAGTTGTTAAAGAAGGTATATCTTGAATATATAAATCTTTCAACACCCAACAATACTTTTTCATCAAATTTTTATCTCTCCTCCCTGCACTTATTGCAAATCTCATTGGCCCTGGTGCTCACCAATCTCACTCCTCTGCTAAACTGATATAAAATCATTGGAGGTTAAAGAAGTTGTTGAATTTATGAATTAGTTTTTCCAATTAATTACGTATGTTGGTACTCTAGGCTGCAACAAAATTGGGTGTCCCTTTAGTTAGACTAGATAGGTATCAGACAGATGTGTGGTCCTCAATGATTACGGTCGACCAGGATTTTTGTATATATTTTCAATGTATATGGCTTTCGTATATATTTTTAAAATATTTTTCATATAATTTATAGATATATATATATATATATATATATATATATATGTATTTTTATTATTTGCAGTTCCCATTCCACTAAAATCTGGATTTTGGGAATTTTCACAAAATTTCTCTTTTTAATGGGTAGAATGGCATTAGTTATGTGTTTTATATGCATTTTTTAATTAGTTATTTTTATTTCTAAGATACAAGTTATCTATACTATTAGACTAGTGTCAACTGAATTATATTTTTATTGTATTTGCTTTGATTTTTGTAATTTCATTTACATTCACTACCTACATTATGCTTTCCTCCCGATAATAAACACTGTATAATCACAAATCAAATTTGTTTACAAGGTCTCTAAATTGATTTTAATGAAAATATGCTCCTAAAACCAAAATACATATTTTAGTAGTTTAACCAACTCATATATGAGTTGAATTTTTCACATCTTGTTAAATTTATGTGTTGGATGACTATAGTCTATTATTTCTTTCCATGTCTAAAATAATTATTTTTCTCATGTCATTTGTTTTTATTTTTTTTTATATTAATTTATAATTTTTGATAATATAATATTATATTATTATCAAAATTAATATTATAATCAAATTTGATGCACAATTAATGTACGAGTCATGCATTTTACTTTGAAGAACAATCATCAAATTATTATTGCATGTCAAGAAAGTTACTATGGTAATGCATAAATAATTTTATAATCACGAAGATTGAATTGTTTTCGCTTATATATTTGTGTCCCTACTCCTACTTAACTATTTTATAACATTGTGCCAAAGTTACTGGGGCAAAATCATATGAGTAATTCTTGTTATTTCATTTATTCTTATTATTTGAATTATGAGAGTAAAGTAATTCAAAATAGATCACAATATTTAAGTTTCTAAATTTTAATAAAAATGAAACTCAATATAAATCGTACTAAAATGCGTATGGTTAGAAATTTTGTTTTTCTATTTGTGAACCAAAAACAGTGATTTATTTGGCTATGAATAGCTCACCAGCGAGGTGAAAGTGGACTACCTTGCTGATGTGGATGAGTAAATTTGGTGTACAATTTGTTTCACCTAATAATTCAGTATTTTTATCTTAAGTAATATATATAGAGAGAGGATATTTAGAACCTTAATTTTAAAAGATTAAATGTGAAACAATTCAATCCCATGGATCAAACAATGGGTCTGTAGCGGCTAAATTGGTGGCCCTTTTAATTAGACAAAGTAAGTAGTAGACAGACGCAGCGGCGGAGCCTAGGGGGCGAATGCCCCTAGGCCCATTAGTTTTAATTACAAATTGACCTATGATTTATAAAAAATTTTAAAATCTCCCACAAAATAAATTTTTTCAAAAACACAGTCATTAATTTGCCAATAAATTATAAAAAAGTAAAAAATACCCCCTGAAATAATTATTTATCCTTGGGTCAATTAATTTTTATTACAAATAGACTTATAATTTATAAAATTTTACAAAAATACCCACTAAAATAATTATTTTTTATAAATATCTTTAATTTTTCCTTTCTTTTCATTCTTACTCCTCCTCTTCATCTTCTTTATTTTTTCTTTAAAAAAAAAAGTTGCATTCCTTTATTCAAACTATTTTTTTTCTCTCTTCAAAGTTTGGTAATTAAATTTATTGCTAAAAAGACTCTTAAGGTTGGTATTTTATGTTTTCATTTTTTAAAATAATTGTTTTTCAAATTATTAAATGCTATCATTCCACCATTATTACAATTCTATTTTTTCATCTTATTGTCTTAACACTATTCGTTTGAAATAAAATATAACTAAATACAACGCCCCTTAAAATTAATTCCTGACCCCACCCCTGGACAGACGTATGGTACAGCTCAATATTCATAGTCGGGTCAAGAAGATCATGAGTCAACTGCATCTAGTGTGTGTATGGCACATAAATATACATATCTATATGTGTTAGTGTGAAAAATGCTTCACAAATTGGAAAGTAGACTAAGTACGGAAAGTAGATTAAGTAAATAATACAAGTGTAAAATAAATAAATGACTATAAATAAGATGCTATGTAGCATGGACACGAACACGAGATACAAATACAACACAATACAAAAATATTAACACGTCAAATTAAATGTTAAACACGAGTACTGCGACGTTCTGAATTTTCACAACCTGGATATGTCAATCTGACCTAAAAGTTGACCAAAACGGTGAAAATAAAATACAAAGTCAGTGAAAATAAAACAAATACGGAAGCAAAACGGTGAAAATAGACCAAGTATGCCCCCAAGGGCAAAATGGTCATTTCATATGCAAACAAAGCCTCAAGAGATGTACCGCATCCCTAAGACAAAAACATTGTTTCCCATGAAGCCATGGAACTTAAAAGAAAACAAAATGCAGGAGGGAAGTTTCAAAAACGGATAAGTTTAGTTCTAGGGGCAAAATTATAATTTCAAGAAAGTTATGGGTACTACCGAGCACACCATTGGATAGGTGGCAAAAAATTAACGAAGTTCAAAAAAAAGTTTACCCAAATCGGAGTCCAAAAAAGGGAAAAAAGATCCGGCAAAAAAACGGCGTCGCGGCAGCCGAAGGGGGCGGCTCAGCACCCTCATGCGCGCGGCGCCACAGCTGTTGCCACCTGCTACATGCCCAAAAAAATCATATTTCAAATGGGATTTTGGACCCCGAAATGACTTTTTTTGAAAAAACACGAAAAGAAAATTCCCCTTAAAATAATTTTTTTAAGCTGACCATGTCGAAAGAAAATTTTATTTTTGACCTAAAATACCCAAAATACCCCTGAGATCAGTTTTGATGAAAAATGTCAAATTTCAAGTTTGTTTCAAGTGTTCAAATGACCAAATATGAAATTGTGGACAAAAACAATTGTGCACGCAAGCGTATTTAAAACATGCGGGAATGGTCCGTGACCCGCGAATATGCCCAATGCAAAATTCGATCCCTAAAACCTCAAAAATGCATAAAAATGGAAAGTTTGAAGTCTATCATCAATCATAAGATGCAACCATGACATTTTGTGCAAAGTAAATATTCTCGCAAATGTTATATACATAATAAAATGCGTCCTAATGGTCTATGACCTCAAAATATACCATATGCAAAATATGGCGTGCTTGAACCCCAAAATTATGAAAAATACCCTTTTTAAGCACTTTGTGAAGTGAATCATCACAGATGCATTCAAAAAACTATTTGGCCCTTGTCCACAAGTCACATATGTTAAAAGAGCACTAGAAAAAAAATGATAAAACGAAATTCCCACCATCCAAACTAAAATTAACATGTTAAAGTTTCGCATTTTTTAATTTTTCTTATATTTAAGCATAAAGTTCACTACAAGAAAAACAGTTTTTTACCAAGCACTTTTTACCACGGTTTTAAAAAAATCGTGGTAAAAGACCCTTTACCACGGTTATTTTAAAACCGTGATAGAAAGGGTCTTCTACCACGGTTCATGAGTAACTGTGGTAAAAAAGAGGGTCTTCTACCACGATTAATGGATAACCGTGGTAAAAAATAATCTTTCTACCACGGTTCATAAGTAACGGTGATAAAAAAGAATTTATATTAGATTTATATTTAAACTCTTTCTACCACGGTTCATGCTCAACCGTGGTAGAAAGCCAATTAATATTGGCGGGTCTTATTCCGGCTGATATTTTCTAATATATATATATATATATATATATATTTAGTAGACAAATCCACACACCCACACAGAAAAAAACACACACACTGCTGGTCGGATCAAAGATGAAGATCAGATCTAGTCGGTTGGGATCCGTCTTTGTTGATCGAAGTTGAAATCAGAGTTTCTCCTCCTGTCATCTGGTCATATGGAACGAATCCACACACCCACACAGAAAAAACCACACACACACTGCTGGTCGGATCGAAGATGAAGATCAGATCTGGTCGGTTGGGATCCCTCTTTGTTGATCAAAGTTGAAATCGGAGTTTCTCCTCCTGCCATCTGGTCATACGGAACGAAAAGCAATGAGGCTCACCTTAATGTATGGGTGCCGGAGGCTTCCTTTCTGTGTTGATGCGACCTACTATTATCGATCTCAACTATCGTTCCACACTAACCGAGAAGGTGAGTGGTTCTTTAGGTACAGTGGTTCGGATAGAAGGCTTGTTTATAGCCGGTTACTTGATTTCCATAGATAGATCGTTTGTTCATCACTCTTTCTCGAAGCCCTAACCTATGAAAATGTTTTTTCCTCTTTCCATCAAGCCTCTTTTAGTTGGCCATAGGAGCAAACCCTACCCCCTAAAGAAAAAACCTTAAGTCTGGAATCCTCCATTAGAGACGCGAAGGTATGTTCGGCGATTTGCAGACGACTGTTGCTGTTAGGTTTGCACATATGTATTCATGTTTTATGTATGTGTATGTGGAAATCCGTATAGGGCACTGCTTTTAATTTCTATTGGGAATGAAATTATTGATAGTTGTTTCATATGAAACTATGGGAGGTCTCTATTGGGTTGATGGTTTTTAGTTTCTCGTAATCATAAAGTTTATTAGCAAAAGGAGTGGCGATTAGGTTGAAAAAGCTAATAATTAACCATGTATGCGCTCTTTAATTTAATGAGATTCTTACAAGCCTTACAACTTTATGAACAGTTACATTTATTTGTACCTTTAAATCCTTGGTCAGAGTTGAGATTTCACAAATTGAGTACCCATTTTGGGTTTTTAATGAAAAATTCTTTATCACAGTAAGAGAAAGAAAATTAGATAACTTGTGAGTTTGTAGATGATTTTGTGAATGTCAATATACTTGAAGAATCTTTATTCAGAGTGAAGAACCTTGTTTAGCACTTCAAGAGTTTTAGTATGCTTTCATTTCTTTTATGGGAAAGCTGAATCAAGTAGATATTTTGAGTATGCTAACAAAGGCATGTCTTTTTGTGATCTTAAATTTTGGAAGCTATATAATCAATTTATCTGCAGTATGAGATGATTAGTGTATGTATTAATATTCTAGTGTTCCAAAAGAATGGAAATTGGAGGTCTTCTTGGTCTTTTCTAATATACTTCTTATAGGAACAAATTAACTTAATTTGTTCATAGTGCTGCAAAAAAGAGGAAAAGTAATAGGAAGTTCAACATGTTCTTAATTTGCCTACTCTGAGTAGTACGCATGTATTCCTAACAAGAGTTATCTTCTCAGAAATATCCTTGATGAACGCAGGACCCAAGAATCTACTCTCGCCAACCTTCATCCAACAAACAGGCGATCAACACGGTCGGCCGTATAATGTTTCAAATGGTGCCATCTCAATAGTTTTCTGGAAACTATTGTTATAAGCAAACTCTACAAGTGGTAAGTAATCCTCTCAGTGGCTCTTGAAATCAAGAACACACGACCGGAGCATATCCTCCATAATCTAATTCACCCTCTCCGTCTGTCCATCAGTCTGAGGATGATAAGCAGTACTAAGGTGTAATTCTGTACCCAAAGCCTGCTGAAAACTCTTCCAAAACCCTGACATAAAGCTCGAATCCCTGTCCGATATAATAGACAATGGAATGTCGTGCAATTTCATAATCTCGGCAATGTAAAGTCTTGCCAACTGCTCCGAAGTGAAGTCAGTATGAATAGGCAAAAAGTGAGCTGATTTCGTTAGTCTGTCCACAATGACCCAAATGGAATTGTGATCCTTGAAGGAATTTAGCAACCCTTTTACAAAATCTATAGAAATGTTCTCTCATTTTCACTCCGGTATTGGTAGTGGTTGTAGAGCTCCTGGCAGCCTCTGATGATCAATCTTGACCATCTAACAAGTACTACATCGCGAGACAAAAAGAGTAATATCCCTTTTCATACCTGCCCACCAAAACTGCCGCTTCATATCCTGATACATCTTGTCGCCTCCTAGATGAACAGAGAACTCAGAGTGGTGAGTTTCAGTCATCACATCATTCCTCAAATCATCAGCAGAAGGTAACACTAACCGTCCCTTGTACCTCAAATCTCCATCAACCCCAACGTAGTAGAATGGAACCTCCTCGGAAGCTATCTCCGCAATTTTGTCAATGCACATCTGATCCGAGAGTTGTGCCTTCAAAACCTTATGAATGATAGAAGGTGTAACTACCATGCAAGCCATGAAAGCATCCGACAATTCATCCACCTTCTTCAACGCATTCCACTCAGTAGTGAATAAAGCGGAAAGACTACCAACAGGTCGGCGACTAAGTGCATCCGCCACCACATTCGCTTTCCCTGGATGGTACTGTATAGAGAAGTGATAGTCTTTTACAAACTCCAACCATCTACGCTATCTCATATTCAGCACCCGCTGAGTGAACAAGTACTACAGACTCTTGTGATCACTAAACAACCTAAAGGATTCACCCAACAGATAATGCCTCCAAATACGTAAGGCAAATACTACAGCTGCCAACTCCAAATTATGCGTTGGATAATTAAGCTCATGAGACTTATGCTTTCGAGATCCATACAAAATCGGTCGCTCTTCCTGCATTAGAACACATCCAAGAACCTGCAACGAAGCATCCATATAGACCAGATACTCTATCCCGCTCTGTGGGGTAGACAAAACTGGTGCAGAAGTCAACCTAGTCTTTAGCTCATCAAAAGCTCTCTGACAATATTCATCCCACACGAACCGTACACCCTTCTTAGTCAGATGAGTGAGTGGTCCTGCAATCTTTGAGAACCCCTGGATAAACCTCCTATAATATCCTGCCAAACTAAGGAAATTCCGAATCTCAGTAGGTGAAGTAAGCTGCCCCCACTCAACCACCGCTGAAACCTTGGCCGGATCTATCGCTATTCCCCTTTCTGACACCACGTGACCTAGAAATTTCACCTCCCGCTGCCAAAATTCACATTTCTCAAACTTGACATACAACTGATGCTCACGAAGCGTCTGTAAGACTATCCGAAGATGTCTAGCATGATCGTCCTCTGACCTCGAGTAAATCAAAATGTCATCTATGAAGACAATGACAAATTGATCCAACTAAGCCCTGAAGACTCTGTTCATTAAATCCATGAAAACCACTGGTGCATTAGTCAACCCGAACGGCATCATCCGAAACTCATAAGATCCATATCTAGTGAGAAACGCTGTCCTCGGAACATCCAGCTCCCGAACCCGAATTTAATGATATCTGGACCGCATATCAATCTTAGAGAAATAAGTAGCTCCCTTCAATTGATCAAAAAGATTATTAATCTTGGGTAAAGGGTACTTATTACGACTAGTAATTTTGTTCAACTCCCTATAATCTATATACAGCCGAAGTGAACCATCTTTCTTTTTTACAAACATAACTGGTGCTCCCTAGGGTGAAGTACTCCTACGAATAAAACCCTGGTTGAGTAATTGCTGAATCTGATCCCCCAGCTCTCGCATCTCCACTGGTGACATCTTATACGGTGCCCTAGCAATAGGCGTAGTGCCTGGAGTTAAGTCTATTACAAAGTCTATCTCGCGACTAGGCGGCAACCCTGGAATCTCCTAAAATACATCCAGGAAATCCTGTACAATTGGTATGTTATCCAATGATACAGTAGTCCCCTCATCCGTGTCCTCCTCCATATGGAATAAATAGGTGCTAGTGACTCCGCTAGAACGCGGCATAGCTACAACGTACATATCCTGACCAGGTATGGTGAATACAATAGACCTATCAAAACAATTAACTTGGGCATGGTAGTGAGACAACCAATCCATCCCAAGTATCACGTCGTAAGTGTGCATGTCCAGGACCAATAGATTGGTTAGAAATTTGAGTCCACCGATATCTAGTGTCACAGACCCATCACTCTCATGAAGAATGGCTGTATCGCCCAACGGTGTAGAAATACCCTGAGGTCTACTGCATACCCGAGTCGTCATCCCAAACAAAGCAACAAAAGTCTTAGCTACAAATGAGTGTGTAACACGTCCAAGTAAACCATGAATAGGAAACTTACCCTCAACAGCCTGAGGTGCCTGCATATCCTGTGGCATAGGGTTGTACACCTTGCCATAATGTAACTGCTGCGGTGCCTGTCCCTGAGGCTGCGGCGGTGCCGGTAATGCCAGATATGTCTGTCCCTGAATCCGTGGAACCTGTGGAGCTGGTAGAGGCACTGACGCCTTCTGCCCCTGCTGCATATGTTGTCCGTCCCTGTCCCTGTCCCTGCCTTGCTGTAGGACACTGCCTAGAAGTGTGACCATACTCTCCACAACTATAGCAACTACCCTGGAAAGTACCAAATGGCCTTTTCTGTCGGTTAACCTGTGGTTGACCCTGTCTTGCCTGTGGTCCCCCATTCTGCTGTCGCTGAACAGGTGCCACATCCTTGGGAGCATCCGATCCACCCTTGTGCTTCTTCCAAGGCTGCTGTCCCTGGAACTTGCCCTTGTCATTCTGTTAGTGACCGTTTCCATTCCCTTTCTCAGCTGACTGATTAGTAGAGTCTCTGTCACTCCACTCCTCACCCTTGGCCTGTTTGATGTCCACGGTTAACTGATACTGATGTAGAGCGGCGTCTACTACCTAAGCATAGGTAGTATAAGTTGGACTACCTGTGATAGCTCTCCTGATAGACCACAACAGTCCCTTAACGAAACTGTTGCACTTCTTTTCTTCTATATCCACCTCCTCTGGTGCAAAGAGAGACAAGCGTGTGAACTGCTGCTCATACTCCGCCACTGTCATATTCTCTTGCTGCAGATTTAGAAACTCAATCTTTATAGCTGCCCTGACTGCCTAAGGGAAGTACTTCTCTTCAAAGCGTGTACTGAACTCATCATAAGTCAATGTCGTCCTCTCCTCTATGGTGGTAACTGACTCCCACCACTGCAGTGCATCCCCAACTAGCTTGAAGGTAACAAGCATCTATTTCTAAACCTCCATGCACTGAACCAAGCAAAGATGTCGCTCGATATCCGGTTTTCACTGGTGAGCTGTTGTCGTATCAGTGGAGCCTGTGAATTCAGGTGGGCTCCCCTTTGTGAAAGAACTCCTAGCCTTCTCCCAAGTATCAGTCTGAACAACCGGTGTTGGTAGCGGTGCCGGCTGTACCTGAGGCTGATTCCGAAGTACAGCTGTTACCCCAGCTTCTATAGCCCGAGCAATGAGATCATTGATGTGAGGAGGATACTCTAGATCTCCTCCCTGATCCCGAGTTTGTTGAACTGCCTCCTGAACCTGACCATCACCATCCTGAAACCCAAGCCTTTGCTGCTCTTCCTCCATTTACTAACGCCGTAGGAGATATTGTTGCCTACGAGCCGCTCTCATTTCCTTCTTAGTTCCTTGCATGTTCTGTCCATTTCTAGTGTTTACCATTTGTTAACATGGAAAAACAAAATCAGTACCATTTCTAAATGAACTGTAAAGAATACAATGAATCCTAAACTTAAGCTCTAATCAAGAGAAAACGCTACGCGGAAGATTTAATACGAAACATCCTAGAGACACTTGAACCTGGAGTGCT